TCTTGTTCTGTACGGCGTGCGCCTCGGGCTTGAGTCGGTGAGCTTCGAGTCGAGGGAAGGTCTGCAAGTTGTGCAATTATCTTTTTGGTAGAAATATAGAGGATTAATAGATGCTTTTGACTTTCGGGTTTGGTGGTACTAGAGAGCATATGCTTTTTCTTTTTATTCTGGACAGTAATTGGCCTCACATTCACTTTCTTGAAACTTATGTTCAACGTTTTAGAGAAATTCTACCTCTTGACCAGAGCCTCTTCATGTGTTCAACCATTATTTTTAAGTTAACCAGTCGAGCTGGGCAAGGGTAATTTTCAGAAAGGGAAGCAAGTTTATCGAGTATGCGATTAGTTTACGGTTCTTTTTAGTGTGTTGGCGTTGTTGGGTGTGGCTCGGTAGCCTGGCTTTGCTCGCGTCCAGGGACGAATCACGAGATTTTCAATGTTTTGTTGGGGAATGTGGTAGTGGGCTGTAAGGTCAATCAGTTCGGGTTTCTTGGGACGACATGAGTAGCGCGTCTGTCGTGCTTTACGGGTTGCGGCTCGGGCTCTTGTTGGCGTCTTTGGAAGAGAGGGAAGGAAGGGGGATTTGCCATTGTTTGGTGAGGACATGTTGATGGACCCGTGTTTGCTATTTGTAGGAATTTTAGTTACATATTTTCATTGTAATAGTTGTACTTACTATCATATATCAGGGAACTTTAACCATGATTGCAAATAGCAGCGTGTCACATTTATGATGAATTCCCACTGAATAACTGATTTCAAACTTGAATAATGGGAAATGCTAAGGTGCTGTTACGGAATCATTCCGTCGGAGTTTGTAACTGTCAGATCAACATTTAACTGTCAGAGATAATTGATATAACGGTTACAAACCCCGACAGAATGGTTCCGTAACAAGACCGTAGCATCTTCCTTATTTATATTCCAATTAGTATTCCACCTACTACACAAAGTGAAGCTGCCCAGCCCAACCATGTCATGCAATTATAATATGAACCTTCACCCAC